GTCGGATGCTCAACCGACTGGGCCACCCAAGCACCCCTAAAAATTATCATCTCATGTGTAGAGAAGGGAGCATCAAGGAAGCTCTGCCTTTTTAATTTTTTGACTTGTCTATTTACCTTTCCAGATCCTATAAACTGCAGCTAGATGATTAAAAGTAAATTTGCCATTAATTTGAAGCCTGTTTTTTTTAATTTAACAATACAACCTGAATAACTTTCCCTGTCATTAAATATTATTATATAGTATTTGTAATGGCTGTAGAATAGTCCACTGTATAACTGCTCTATAATTTATTTAGCCATTTTCCTATTGTTGGACATTTGGATTGTTTCCAAGTTTTAGAAGTAATACATAATTCTTATGAGCATTTCCTTCATACGTGATTTTTTCCTGAGGATATTTTCCTAGCGGTATAATTGGTGGGTCAAAGGGCTGACAAAGTATTAAGGTTTTTTTTTAAATGTTTTTTTATTTATTTTTGAGACAGAGAGAGACAGAGCATGAGCAGAGGAGGGACGGAGAGAGAGGGAGACACAGAATTGGAAGCAGGCTCCAGGCTCTGAGCTGTCAGCACAGAGCCCAACGCGGGGCTCGAACTCACGGACTGTGAGATCATGACCTGAGCCGAAGTCGGAAGCTTAACCGACTGAGCCACCCAGGCGCCCCAAAATATTAAGTTTTTTTATTCCTATTACCAAATTGCCTTCCATTAAGGCCGCTTGCTGCCCATGCTGCTGTGGTCACACCCGGAGAATTCTATCCAACGGTGCGGGATTGTGTGGAATTCACAGAAAAGAAGTGATCTTATGAGTTTGTGTTAGGGCAGAGCTTCCTGGAGGAGGTGAGGCTTGAGGGAGGCCTCAAAAGCAGGTAATTTGACTGGTCCAGAGGTCAAGGAAACAGCTGACGGGAAGCAGAGACCCAACGGGAGGCGTCCTGGAGCGGCTGGAAGGTGCTACCCGCGGCCAAGCGGAGCAGGACCACGCTGGCTTTGGGCTGGAGGGAGCCGGGACAGCCGACCCACGCTGGACTGGGTAAAGCAGGGAGCAGCATCCGGCTCTGCAGCAAGGCAAAGGCTTGAATGAAGGAGACACGTCACAGCCATCAAACATCCTCATTTGATGTCCATCCACACTTGGTGATTCCCCGGAAATGGACAGAATGTGGAGTTTTCTCCTTTTCATTTTATTAAGGAGAAAAAAAAAAAAAAAAAAAACCCAGCCCTGCCAGTTTGCTAGATATTCTTGGAAGGATAATAAAGATAAAACTTTCTTCCTCTCTCAGCAGAATGGAATTAGACTCACCTTGTTACAGATTGTGCCGTGACCAATTAAAAAGGGAAAGAAAAGGAAGTCTGCTGAAACATTCTCCGCTTTTCAGCGGCTCTTATGTAAGCCCTGTAAATTCCCCGGGGACCTGAAACCACATCGACCACCAAATATTGAAAAATGAAAACAAACTGTTCATTAAAGGGATTGCAAAGCATGCCTTTCCTTTGGTTTAGGCAAGGGGAGGGGGGACGGAGACGTTAGACGGGAACCCCTTTAAAGATGAGGGAGAAAGAAGTTTAGGGAGCCTTTCTTTCTCTCCAGGGATTTCAAAGCGGAGACTTGTAAAGACTCCAGGAATACCGGGCCACACTGCCTCTTGTTAAAGCGGTAGGGGCCTCATTAGAGATTGATGGAAGCAGGCAGTTTCCCTGCCTGTGGTAGGGTGCCGCCGCGGCCACCGGGATCGTGGCCCTGATCTCTGGCCCCCTGCGCGGTTCCCATGGCGGGGGGCCTGTCGCTGAATTCAAAAGCGGGACTTCGGGGGTCCAGAAATGGAATCTTGCATTTTTAACTTTTGACCTGGCTGTTTGTCTTTAATTACCGAAAGAACCTGAGGTTTATGAATGACAGAGTGACACTGCCCCGGTGACTTTAGGTGATTGGCTTTTCCTCTTGGAACCTGTCTCCTCTGTAAAACGGGGCTAAGAATAGAGTACACGTCTGAGGGGTTGTATTAGGTGACATGATGCCCTTCACCAGGCAGGGGCCTGGCAGGCGGAAAGTGCTGGCAAATGACGTCTCGTTCACACCTTCTGAGTCCAGGGGAACTGTTGCCTGGATGGACCCTCCGGGGTAGTCAGGGGTCAAGCAAAAATCACAAGCTTCTTACTGAAGGAAAAACGCTTCCTTTAAAAATGTCTTTATGGCAGATGTGTTCCTTCTGGGCCAACATGCCGTGCCTGAATCCAAGCGTGAAGTGGGGTTCAGAGGTAAGGCAGGCACGCAGTCATCTGTAGGCCTCTGGCCATGTGAGTCTCAGCCAGATAAAACCAGTCCCCAAAGAAATCTGAGGAGCTGGATGTTATCACCTAGTTAGTGCCCTGCTGCTCTGCTCAGGTCTTTGTTTCCCTGATTTTCTCTGGCTCAAACATGTGTATGTTGGTGGCAATCTTGGCCTACGTGGGAAGCCTGAAAATAATGATGTGGGCACCGAGATAGAATACGTTTCCACAGGACTGCAGTCAAACCAACTCTTCGCTCCGCCAGGCCGCACACGCTAGGATTTAGAGGCCTGCGCTTTCACTCTGCCTGACTCAGGATCTAATCACTGTCCTTCAGGTGACCAGCCTTCAGCACGGGTACTGCCCCTGTGCCGTGGGGATGCTGGCTCCGACCATCAGAGTGAGTGGAAGTGGAAGGGGGTCTGGGGCTGTGGCTTCATCAAGGGGATCACCAGGAGCCCCGGTCTTGTGCACACGGGCCATCACTAAGGATGCAGTGTGGTCTTGGAGGTCGTGGAGGCTCGCGGAACGGCTGGCCATCTCTGCTTGGCTCCGGGGCCCCAGGCTCAGCTTAATCTGCACTAGGCACAGCCCAATGGTGGAGCTCACCGAGCACCCCCCCCCCACCCCCCCCCCCCCCGTGGCTCAGAGGTTGCTTCTGCCTGGCCAGCCTTCCCCTTCAGGGGAAACAGGGAATGTTGGGGGGGGGGCGGGGGCGTGTCATCTTGTTGCCGGCTTCCTTTGCTGGGTACACCCTTTTAGTCTGATGTGGTCCCAGTAATTTAATTTTGCTTTTGTTTCTCAGATGTCTTAGACGTCCACATCTGCTTCCTGCTCCCGGTGACTAAATCGCAGATATTGCTTTTACAGTTCGCTCCAGGAACGGTCTTTTCAAACTGAGCTTTTGATTTCTTTGAAAAACTCTGTTTCCCCCTACGACGCGCTGCAAAATTTTGGCTTTGTCAGCAGAAGGCCTCTGTGTCTCCAAACTGAGCGCGCACGTGTCCGTCCTCTTGGGAAGACCCTACATTTCCCTGCACGCTACGGCAAGAGAGGTTGCTTTTGAAAAATCCTTTTGGTGAAGTACCTTCTTTTTGTAACAGGGGTGCACTTGCCCTCACCTTTGCTTTGTACAGACACAACGGTGCTGTGCAAAGCTATTCCTCACCTCCCTCACGGAAGTTCCTCTGTCTAATCACTTCACAGCAGATTATACTTTTTAAAACAAAGTTTTTCTTATGTTTATTTTTGAGAGAGAGCAGGAGAACAAGAGTGAGAGCAGGGAAAGGGAGCCACAGAATCCGAAGCAGGATCCAGGCTCCAAGCTGTCGGCACAGAGCCCGACACGGGGCTCGAACTCATGAACGAGGATATCATGACCTGAACCGAAGCCAGACGCTTAGCCCACTGAGCCACCCAGAAGCCCCATCCATATACTTTCAGAGATGGATGTAGTAATGTCTCCCGTCCCCCATGCTCTTCTGCAATGTGACCTTGACACTCTTCCCATTGAGAAGTAGGGTTTTTGTCCCCCTCCCCCTACCTAGATCTTGGTGAGCTTGTGATTGCTTCTATCAATAGAGTATGGCAGCAGGGTGCCATGTGACTTCTGAAACAGGGTGACAGAAGGCCATGCAGCTCCAGCCTAGTCTTCTTGGAATGCTCAGTCTCCAAAGGGCCCCTCTTGGGACCCTTCCTCTCAGAACCTAGCCACTGGCTGTAAGAAGCACAAGCCGTGAGGCATGGTCCAGCCCTCGGCTCTGGCTGAGCCACCCTTCCGGTTATCCCAGCTCAGGCACCAGACAAGCTAGTGAAGAACCCATCTGTGGAACCTCCAATACAGTTGTTCCAACCCTTAGCAGTCCAGACCTCCCCGGCCGAGGCCCCAGACATTATAGAGCAGAGAACCACCTCCACTGTGCTCTCTCCAATGCACGATTCCTGGAACCCAGGAGCATAACAAATGGTTGTTTTACACCACTAAGTTTGGGGTGGTTTATTTTTATTTTTTTATTTAAAAAAAATTTTTTTTAACGTTTATTTATTTTTGAGACAGAGAGAGACAGAGCATGAATGGGGAGGGAGGGTCAGAGAGAGAGGGAGACACAGAATCGGAAGCAGGCTCCAGGCTCCGAGCTGTCAGCACAGAGCCCGACGCGGGGCTCGAACTCATGAAGCACGAGATCATGACCTGAGCCGAAGTCGGACACTTAACCGACTGAGCCACCCAGGCGCCCCTGGGGTGGTTTATTATGCAAAGTAACCGGCACATGTACACACTTCTTATCCAGTGCGGTGTGGTCACATGGTGACAGGACTGGCTGGTTCATTCAGAAATGCACAGCCCTTAGGAACCAAACTCTAAACAACAGCCCCTCTCCACCTCTATTTTAGAAGCCGGGGGAGATAATGGAAATTCAGATTTTTCTCCAAACATCGATTCGATGATGTGAGAACAAGCATGGGTACTTAAAAATTAAAAAAAAAAAAGGGGGGGGGGCACCTGGGTGGCTCAGTCAGTTAAGCCTCCGACTTCGGCTCAGGTCATGATCTCAGTTTGAGAGTTTGAGCTCTGCGTGGGGCCCTGTGCTGACAGCTTAGAGCCTGGAGCCTGCTTCCGATTCTGCGTCTCCCTCTCTCTCTGCCCCTCCCCTGCTCGTGCTCTGTCTCTCCCTCTCTCCCAAAAATAAACATAAAAATTTTTAAAATAAAAAAGATACTATGAACATTAAACATACCGCTCGGATTTCAGTGCTACTTGTATAACCTAGCGTTGCAAGTTTCCTTCCCTCTGCCGCTGTTACCTCCAACCTTGCAGCCATTTGTCCTTGCTCTGCAAGAAATAGCTCACCCCCTGCCTTCTCTCCCGGGTCCGGCCTCAGACTCAGCATCAGGTTGAACCATATGGAATTGCCACTTTGTAGGTCATAAATGGTTAATCTCAGCAATTTCACGTGGTTCAACCTAATGCTAACCTCCAACTCCTCAAATGATGTTGAGTTGTATTCTTTTTTTTTTTTTTTTTCAACGTTTATTTATTTTTGGGACAGAGAGAGACAGAGCATGAACGGGGGAGGGGCAGCGAGAGAGGGAGACACAGAATCGGAAACAGGCTCCAGGCTCCGAGCCGTCAGCCCAGAGCCCGACGCGGGGCTCGAACTCCCGGACCGCGAGATCGTGACCCGGCTGAAGTCGGACGCTTAACCGACTGCGCCACCCAGGCGCCCCGAGTTGTATTCTTAAGTCTCACTCCAAATGGGATGTGCCCCCTGCTCTCCTCGCCTCCCCCAATCCATCTAAATCGGATTATTCTGTAGCATAGCATCTTGTCCTTCCCTCCACAGCACTTATCACAAGTTGTAATTACGTATGTGTTTATTATTTAATGTCTGATACTCTAACTAGACTTTTATACACTCCATGAGCACCACACATCATTGTATCCCAGCCCCTGGCAGGAGGCCTGGCATATCACAGGCACTCAATAAATGTCCGTTGAATTAATGGATATACAATGTGGCTCTTTTCATATGCAGACAATGTTTTTATTCTGTTGCCAGAGCGTCCTGTACCCAGTGGTCCTTGTTATTGTATCTGGATCTGAATGTAAGTTTCTAGAGCCATGGATAATTCCTAATCCTGGCCGCCCATTAGAAACAACCGGGAAGGGGTGCCGGGATAGCTCAGTTGCTGGAGCATATGACTCGTGATCTCAGGGTCGTGCGTTTAAGTAGGGTCCATGCCCAACATGGAGCGTACTTAAAATTTAAAAAAAGAAAAGAAAAGAAAGAAGGGGAGAGGAGAGGAGAGGAGAAGAAAAGTAAAGAAAAGAAAAGAAAAGAGAAAAGAAAAGAAAAGAAAAAGAAAAGAAAAGAAAAGAAAAGAAAAAGAAAAGAAAAGAAAAGAAAAAGAAAAGAAAAGAAAAGAAAAGAGAAAAGAAAAGGAAAAGAAAAGGAAAGGAAAGAGAAAGAGAGAAAGAGAAAAAAGAAGGAAAGAAGGAAAGAGAAAGAAGGAAGTAAAAGAAACTGTATAAAACTTGGGCCCTACCAGCCCTCCTGGTTAATTTAATTAAGCTAATAATCACTGGTCACCTATCATGCGCAAAAGATTTGACTGTTTGCTGCAGGAATTGCAAAGATGAACAAACCACAGTCTCTGTTTCAAGGAACTGACCACACAAACCCTCCCCTGGCCAAAAATCTCTATTTCTGATAAATATATACAAATTCACAGCCTCTCCAATAAAGGCTGTTAAATGGCAACGGAATGCAAGATGTATAGCGCCATTTGGAGTTGTAATGAGACAACATGCCTCTACCAAATATCCCAGAGCATGAGGCGCCTGGGTGGCTCAGTCAGTTAAGTGTCCAACTTTAGCTCAGGT